TGCTGGGAAAACAGCGAGCCGAAATCTCGAAACGAAGAAGAACGCCACGCGGGGAGGTTCTGAACAATCCGCGCAAGTCTGGTCCTAAATCCCGAGCGGCCGCGGATGGCAGTTTGTGGTCTACATCGATTTCCAATGGATTCTTGGCGTCGTGGTGGCTTCGGTAGGAAAGCGCATACTCCAAGAATGCTGCAAACTTGTCTTTGGATATCTCCGGCTTTTGGATTGAAGCGTCAAGGCGTAGTTCATTCACTTCATTACGACCGTCTCTTACAAAATGCAGTACTGTTGTGTCGCCGTGCGAAATGGTGTTGGTAACTGCGCCACCTACAAGCGTCAAGTTACATTTTAATCGCAATTATTTAGGAAAAGAAAATTCAGAAAAAAAAATAAATAAATAAAACTTCCGATAAAATTAAGGATCATTTGAAAAAAAAAAACATAAAAATGTTTATGAAAATAATTTGTATCTTGCATTGGTTGAGCGTTGTTGGGAAGAGCAGCAACAGGTGCCGCGTTTGCCACGAACTCATCAGGCAACAGTATGGAATACAGCTGAGCCCATCCTTCAGCAGGAATACCACTGGCAGCCTCTTCAGCAGGGGCAGCGTAACCGCTTTGCACTACTTCGGAAAACTCCGGCAATTCTTCCAAAACAGGAATTTCAACCGCAGGCACATCAGGAGATCCTAAATCCGCTAGAATGCTTGCGAGATCATGAGCAACATGTTCGTACGGTTCAGCAGGCTCCTGGCTAGCTACAGGATGTGTGAAGGGAGAACCTAGCATAAACTCTGACAGATCGAGAGAATCAAGCCAGTTAAATTCCATTGTAGAACTAGAAAACTTAAATTTTTGCGCGGCCACAAATTTTAAAATTGAGAACTGAAGCAGTAGAGCGCTAATTGTCGGATGCAAAACGGATTCTGTCCTCATATGCAAAACGAGCCCGTTCTTCTCACGGTTCTGACTGGTGGGAATAAAGTACTGCCGGTCCCACCCACGTAAGGGAGCATCCATAAATTACGTACGCAGAAAACCACGGTTTTTTCACCCCTCCCTCCCCCTTCGTAGCGGTCCGTCACGTTTGCTTGACCCCTCCCCCCTGGTTCGCTCCATCGTAATACATGGAGATGACCACCCCCTCCCCCCGGGTTCGTCGGGGTCGTCACAGCTTGTCACGTTTTTTGGACCCGTCCCTCCCTGGTTCGCTGCGTACGTAATTTATGGATCCCCCCTAATCAAGCTGCTCTTTGTCTTCCTACGTCACAAGAGTGACGGGCGCAATAACGGTAAAAAACGCGGGACGAAACAAATAATTGTTCTTATGCGTTGTGGTTGTATGTAAGGCTAAAGATTACACGCACGCTGCTTTTCTTCACCAAGATAGGATTCTTAAATCTATAAAAGTACAGTTGCTGTCCAGTCAGAGCAAAGCAAAAACCAAAATAAAAATACAACACTTATTCCTTGGAAGAAATGAGAACTTATCGTCGGAAAAAACAACATCATACTGGATATTTATTCCAGAACAAACAATAACAATAAAAAAGAATACAAATACAAACATAGACAGCCGGCCATAACCGTCCTAAGCCATCCACTCATCGTACACATAGTCCACATCGTCATTTTCTTCCGGCTCGGAATCGTCCTCATCATCCTCATCGGAGTCAGTCTCCACAATGACATCCTCATCGTCCACCCCAACCATGACCTCCAGGTCTGCTTCCGGTTCTTCGGCACCAACAGGCTCATCCGCCGCCAACATCGGCTCCTGATACAGCGGCAAGTTCTCCAGAGTGCGAGCTGCGTTGGCGTCGGCCACATCTTCCGGTCGCAGCCAAATAAACCAGGACGCCGCTGAACCTGGCCAGTCCCGGGTTCCTGGACGGATGGGATTCATATGCTTGTCCTTGTGGATGAAGCGGAACTTCCTGGCGGTAGGAAATTGACCCAACAAATAAGACTGACGGTGAGGACCTTCGCGCCATTTCGGGCAGGGATAATTACCGCCCTTTAGCCCGTGCAGATGGCGGTAAACCACCTCCGGGCGACCCATTGCCCCGAAGATGACCAGGCAAAACGGGCACTGGAAAAATCGGGAGCCACGTTTGGCCACGCGTTTCTTCAACAACTTAATCAGTCTGGCGATCTGCAAAGAGAAACAAATACAATTAACCTTAACACACCTCCAGTGGGGGTTTTGGTTTGGGTTCCAGAAGTGGGGGTTTCGGTGGGGGTATCGATGTAATTTAAAACGACGTTAATTGCGAACGGAAAAAAAACAGTAAATACCTTTTTGTAACCAGTCCCGACATCGCGACCATCAACCAAGTCGTCTATGGTGAGCTTTGTCGGCTCAAAGAACGACTGACTACCGTTATAGTGACTCCACTCTCCAATCGTACCGCACCACTCAAACACCGGCCGAGTTTCACCGTCGATTTCGATGGTAGTCACCCTCTCGATCGGATGGTCCCCATAGGGCGCACGTGCGGTTTCGGCGGAAGGAGCAGCACGGCCACTCGCGCGCTTCCGTTGTTTGGGGGTTCGTTTGGCGGTCTTGCGAGTCGTCCGGATTGCTGTAGGTGCTTTTGCATTGCACCGCTTGACAGCTCGACGCTGGGGCGGAGAGTAGGCCTTGTTCCACACTGGCGGAGCCATGCGGCGTCCAGACCCCGGCCTGGATGCTGAGCTACCAGGTGACGCCATGACCGGACTACAAAACAAAACAACAGTAAAAGTTAACTTTACTCTGGTAAGCAAATGTCCGATTACCGCGGTGGTTGGTCACTACTGGTCGAGACCCCTCGGGCACCGCGTGTGCGGCTCGCGACCGAGCCCCGCGGAGAAGACGCACGACCGGAGAGCGAACCCCGCGGCGAACGGTGCGTGCTGTCCAATACTGATCCCGGTGGCGAGCTTTGACGCGACAACGAGGATGGTGGCCGGGCTCGGGGCGGCTGCACAATGATTGTGTGCTTCGGACGATTCGGTGCAGACATGGGATTGACTGGGCTGGCCGGCATGGACTCAGCTGGGATGACCGGTGGAGGGCGAGGCTCCTCCACGGGCTCAACAGCGGCCGCGGCATCATGTTCCCTTTCCGCTTCCGATTCTGGCTGATTGGCCGCAGCAGCGTTCGCTCCTTCCGCTTCCGACACTTCCGGAATGGGCACGGTAACTTCCGTTTCTATGAGTTCGCCCATACCGCTACCAGTGGGAGTCTCATCGATGGCAAGCACCCGTTCGCTTTCCGAATCCTCTGTCAGGACGGGGCTGGGAGGCGTCGGAGGCGCGACTGGAGGTGCGGTTCGATAGGCCTTAATAAACATGTCCTCGTTCAGCGGGGTCTCCGTCACATCCTTTTCCGGAGAGTCCTTCGTGTAGATTTTCCCTATAAAAACAGCAGACCTACAGTGACCAATTTACATACATTTATTTTTCCATTTATACTTACCTTCAATCTCGATTGCTTCGATAGGAAATTTAGCTTTTTCAGCGATCATACTTTGGACTCTAGACAACTGAAAAAACACATTTGGTAGTTAAAATAACTATACTGTGTAAAGTTTAAGTTGAAAATAAAAAAATAAAAGCAAGTTTCAAATATATTATTTTTTTTCTTCTTATTACCGAATTGCAGTGCCCAACGGTAATCGTGATTGTACAATGAGCAGGAGACGGAATTCCGACTCGTACGCGCATGACTCTGAAAGTACAAAACACTAATTAGTAACACAAAGAGACACGATCAAAGTGCCGCACGGCGGTAGGCTTTCATTTAGCTACGATAATATAAATACAACCTCTCCCTGTACCACTCCTCTTAGTGGCAAGTCAACAACAGAAACTTGACGGCGTGCGCCGTGTTAGTTTGCCCGTCAGCACATACCTGTCTTGATTTTCACCGCTGAAAAGTTGAAGAACTGTTTTCCAAGATATCGTGAGGAATCAAATTTCGTCCCGTCTTGCAGTGTGCCTAAATTATGAATAATTTGTGGAATTTTACATTAACGAGTTATTATAATAAGAAAGAAAACATCAAAGAAAAACAAAGCTAATCCATTAGCGCGTTATTTTAGCGTAAGATTATATCTAGCGGTGGAGAGCAGTTCCCTGTACGTAAGGGCCAAAAGACAGTGATGCTACAGACGGGTGAACTGTTTACGCCGTATTTTAGAAAATGCGAAATCCTTACTTGTGTAATAAACGCTCACGGTCTATTCCTTTTTCGAAAAGATGGCTTCTGGGAACAGAAGAAAATGGGCCGAACAGCATATGGGCCGATAAACCGCTTCGCAACACAAACTGCGACCAAAACCAACAAACTGCACGGCTGCCGTTAGTGAACAGCATTTTCATTTTTCAGCAGCCAAAATCCGTCCTCTCGCACTGACACGGCATTATCCCGCATTTCTGTTAAGAGAAATAGCAAGGGTTCGCAAACATACCTCGCACAATGTGCAGAATCCCACCGAAGAGTTGACAGTAACATCCGGAACAAAATACCGTCCAAAAAACAGCACACATGCGGCGCAAACTTGTTGCTTATTAATTTTCGAAGTCCAGGGTAAAACTAGTATTTGATTCCGATGGAGGATACAAGTACGGTATCGACAGTTACACAAAATACAGGAAAACTGTACAAATACAAGTGAACTTTCACTTCAAAATCTGACATCAGCAAAGTGAAAAACCAACACAATTCTCCGAGTGGAGAGCTCGTTGAACGCGGTCATTATTTATTTTTTTATTTTTTATTATTTACTTCGGTAGTGTGTGCTAACTGCCACCCGCACGCTGTTACGCCACCCGCACACCGTATCCCACCATACGCAGGACTGTAGCCATAGACATTTTCCCAATTATATGGACTATAGTCCTTACTAGAATGGGCGATTCCTATTGGGGACCGGACCTACGTGCTGCTGGCAACACGCACGACAACTCCACCGAAAGTTCACCGGAAGTTATAACCGCGCATTGCTCCGCAGGAAAGATCGAGGTTTTTCAACCGATCACCGCGAGCGTCACCCAACTAAAATTGTCTATCGACACGAGCACAGAGTGTCGATCGAAGCTGCGGCAGTTCGTCACGTTCATCTACACGAAAAAATTCCCACAACTACCGAAAGAAAACACGGAAGAAGCCTCGGAAGCCGTCGAACTGATTCCGATCAATCGATGGGTCAATGAGTTCCTCATTTGCTCGGAGGTGCCTCCGTTGCTGGTCAGTTGCAACGGAACAGCGACGACGTTTTCTTATGATAACACGACGATTATTGACGCGACGGAGCTGTTTTTCCAATCGGACAACAGTCTTCGCTGTCGGAAGATCGCCAGCACCATACACCGTCATATTTTATCCCCGCGCAACACGGTCGTCGAGAGCGGGGTTTCTGCAGACTGGGAGCGGGACGCCGTAGTAGCGGCGTGCCAGAAAGGTCAAGTGGTCGTGTCCGATGGAAACCCAGAGCAGGCGGTCTTCGCCAATCTTCGCTACTATTCCGCGCCCAATCAGCTGTGCCGGGACGCGTTTAACCGTTTCGCTAAATACCTGTGGTCATCACTGGCTTAAACGAATCAGTTTCCATTATTTAGTGTTGTGCATTCCTGCGCTTTTGTATTCGCCGTAAATGAATTTCCTTTATGGTCGTCACAGAGTTCGTTAACAAAAAACCGCTTGAGCACGTACAGCTGCTAAAAAATGTTGACATGTCCGACACCGACAAACGCATCCGACTATACGCCATCATGTCCACTTTCTAAGAAAATAAGGGTAAAATTTTCATTGAATAACCGGGTAATGACGACCAACATAGCTCTAGTTTGCTTCGTTGTTTTATAGAATTTTCTTTATCAACTGCGTTCTTCAATTCTTCTAACAGTTTGTATACAGCCTAAATTATAAAGTACAAAATTTACTATTGTTGATATTACTGTGATGGCGGAACTGGAGCATACAGTAAAAGTTTTTTTCGAAGATGAAAAATGATGCCAAATTCCCCATGTTTCACCCTTCTTGCTTTTACGGTGATCAATCAGGACGGAGTATGTTCGTTAAATGACAATTAACGAGTTAATTGATGTTAATGTTAGCTGGAGGACATGCGCTTCCGCTCTGTCTCCTTTCGCCGTGTGTTGCGAGTTACGTAAGTCTGTTGGTTGCGCTGCGCGTCGCCGTGGCGCTTAGATCAAAGCGGCCGCCGTCATGCACGGGCATGCTGTTTGCACTTGGTACTGTTCGTGTGCTCGCATTGCATGGTTCTGCAGTTCTCACTGCTGTCTGTCTTTGCTCCTTCGATATCGTGTGCGCGCGAGTGATCTCTGTTCTTCCATCTTCCTTGATCTGCATTTCGGACTTCGAAATTTTTAGCGTTCGTTCCGTATGCGCGCGCTGTATTCCGTTCTGCGCGCCGTATTCCGCGCATCTGCGATAGCTGATTTCTGGCTGCCATCTGTGCGATGGCTCAGCTCCTCGTTTATCGCTCTCTAGGTTCTGTCAGGCAGTCACCATCGGTGACTGGCTATATCCTCGCCAGAATTTCAGATCAGTTCTTTATGCGTCATCTAAATCCACACCGCATCCGAAGAGCCAAGCGAACAGCTCGCACTCAGCTTGAACGCCACTCGCCCGTTAAGGGGCCCTCCAGAGAACCATCAGCGCGAAGAGAAAAGCGGCCAGGATTAACCACTGCTCAGCGGGCAAGTTACACCCGTCCTCAATTATGCCTAATGGGAAGCTAGGCCACGAAGGAAAGCTGCACCATTTTTGACGCGAGCCCTTCATTGGACGGCAGGGCAGGCCTCCAGCTACGGTGGCGACTCGCACCTAACCACGACGTCCGTCAAGCCACCGACCACGGCTGCACGTGACTCTGACGGCAACACAGGCCTTTAACTGCGGCTGCATCTCCCTCGGACAGCACCCCAACTACGGCCGCTCTACCTCCGGCAGCGACAGCCCCCTTCCAACGGCCGGGCACAAAGCTAGGCTACTGACGAGAGCTGCACCACCCTCGGACGGCAAGGTAGGCCCCCAGCTGCAGCCACACCTTCTTTGGACGGCAATTGGCCGCCTACGGATAGCTGTCCCCATCTCCGACGCAAGCAGGCCCATTAACGGCGGCCGCATCCTCCTCGGACGGCTGACAGGCTCATTCGGAGCACACATCCGACAGCAAGCTAATGATCTAGCAAGGGCACCTTCCTCGGACGGCAAGCAGGCCCGCCGTCCGAGGCAGGCCCGCCGTCCGAGGCAGGCCCGCCGTCCGAGGCAGGCCCGCCGTCCGCAGACTCCCAGCGGCGGTTGCACCTTCCTCGGACGGCATACAAGGCCACCAACTTCGGCTGTGCCTACCTCCGACGGCAAGCAGACCCCAGCGGCGGTTGCACTTTCCTCGGACGACATACAAGGCCAGCACCTCCGGTGCGCTTACTTCCGACGGCAAACAAATCACTAGCGGCGGTTGCACTTTGCATGGAAAAACCTGACTGGATGCTGACATACCACGGATCCGGCCATACCACGCCGGGATCATCACACCGCACCGCTCCTTATCGGCAACGTAACGACGTCAGCCCTGGCGAAGTAAAGATAGCCGGATCCTGCCTTCTCCCAATGGAACTCCGAATCTTCACCAAATACATCAGCAGAACCGTGCAACTGCTCATCAATTCTTTTATTGAGTTGTTTGGGGTTTTGTTTGGGGCCTTCGGTAGGGCACTGGTCGCTCTCTTCCGCCGACCCCCGGTCGGCCGGCTTCTCGCTGACCCACGGTCACCGCACACAGCCGATCACAGAGAGCACCAGCCTCCCAGCAGCCGGGGCTCCAGTGCCCCCAGTGGAGTCCGGAAGCGGTAACATTAATGATGATCGGTATGGCCTAACACGCACTTCTGTCGGTAATAGTCAACCGCTTAGTAGCACTATGCAATAGACATGTTCCACAATCCACACTTTATTATTTTGGATGATCTAGAATTCAGGCTGCTGTCCGTTGTTCATCGAACAGGAAACGTTAAACAGCGAAGACAACCGATTAGCTTGCCATTAGTAAACTTACCATTATGTAGTACTGAACCTGCAGTACAGTACTGTGCTGTTGCTGCTTGTTAATGCGTGTTAATGCTCTGATGTAATACATTATTATTGTACATTCCATCTGGATTTCGGTCTGCTGTCCGCTGATCAATAAAAGTGTACGACACCAGTTTAGGAAGGCAGCGCTAGCCGCTATGTAACGGACTGTTAATAATCATTCAAGCAGTCGACCAGCTAAAAGCGATTGACGATATCGGCATTAGGCATGCCGATGGAGGCCGGGCCACAGCTTCTGGCTGTGGCAGTCATGCATGCACATGGTGTTATGATTCTGTATGTACTGCTTTATGTACAGCTAATGGATGTTTCGCCCGTACTGGAGTAACTGACTGCGGCCCTGACGGGTTTGCTCTCCTAGTGCATCCTGCTGCTGCCGTCGAGCACACTGCTTTGCAGAGACTCCCTAGTCCCTAAGCGTCCCTGATGGCGTACACGGCCCACAGCTGGACTGGCCTTCGACGGTGGTTAGGGTCGACAATCCGCTTGCGTCCACGGGAAGGGATTTACACGTACATGAACATGCGGTTATTGTGTCGCCACATGATGTGGTTGCCACTTCATATGGCGCCATGATCGCCGCATCGTTCATGGTATCTCGGAGCCGACATAGGAGGCCTCCCTCTTGCTTGCAAACGGGCTTCGGCCGGTGGAGACCGCAGGGTTTGCTCCGTTGCAATGATCGCTGTGTGTGCTGGTACAGTACAGTACGTTTACAACAGCTCACGGTCTAAGTTCTAAACGCCAAAAATATAATAAAGTCCTAAAAGCCAAAAATATATTTGTTTAATAAAACTGAAATATATGCGGTGGTATAAGAAAGCAAGAATGTCGTAAAAATCGCGCGGAGGTCTAACAGTAGTATTCCTCGAAGGTAGCGTTGAGCGCGGATGCAAGAGGTGCATCTTTGTATAAAAACTTCATTACCATCATCAAAATTTATTGATAATATCGAAATTCATTAGTTCCTAGTACTTCCTACTATCAAAAATTTATTAATATCATGAACGCGTCCTGTGGCATCCTATTTATGTTATTAGTGTATCACTATTTATTTTACTAATTTTTAACTATAGCTATTCGTTTCAGTTTTATTTTATAATAAATTTTTTTATTACTAGTATTGCAAAGTTTTCAAAGGATAATAACTCACCTTTGAGCAATTTATTATAACATATATAACGACAGATGCACATAATAATAATATCAGTTCTTCTTATACTTGGTAATAAGAAAACGAAAGTGCTATGCGCCAGGAAAATTCCTGGCGCATAGAAGTGACCATAAGAAAAATCATACTCTTATAAAGAAGTGCTATAATTAGCTATTTCTTGTACGGTTTACGAAGGTTAACGAAATAATTTCAATAAACACATCTAATTTTTTTAATTTTCTTGTTCCTCCTCCCGTACTGCAGTTTCTTTCATTCGCTCTTTTTTTAACGACCAGACAACATTTTACACCACAACACTGCATAAATCGCATGCAGCTGATTTTGAGCTTGCCTAGTTATAAATAAACAAATACCAATTACTATCATAATTCATAATATTGTACAGTATGTTAAGGCGACCATTGTCCACTATGACTTATCGTTTAAAATATTTTTCCAGTTTCAACATCGAAAAAACTTTCTCATCCAACTTTTGATTGCACGTATCTGTACAGATATATGTAAGCACAAATACACAAATACCATGGTTAGGATACCTTGGCCTGAGTTGTAAAAAACCGGGGCCGGAAGCCCAGACATAGCTGCATCAATGCAACTTTAAAGCGCGCCTTTGCTTCCGTCGGCATTGAAACGGAACTGGAATCACCTGGTACTGTGTTTTATTTCACCTGAGGTACAACGTAATTGAACAATCGTCAAACACATCAGCATTTTTACAACATTAAAATTTCATTAAACTTTGCTGCTCCTTCCATCGTTCCCATGACTGAAGCCGCGTTACCGTGCTGTATCTCCAATGACAATCTTTAGCGTAAAAATTCATGGGAGCGGGATTCGCCTGTGTGTTGCTCGAGTCGTTTGCCAAGTGCTTTGATAATGGCGATAGCGGACGGTCCGCAAGGGCCCATGGTTTTGAAAGCTATCGGTGCAAAGATGTACCTGCCACTTAGATACAAATACAGCCGGCACTTTTTCTCTTCCGCTTCCAATGCCGCTGCACCAGCGCTTGCAGCCGTTGACTTGATGTGGGAAGGCGCAACCGTGCCCACACAAGTGACGTCCCACGCTAAGCACATCCCTCTCTGCCAGGCAAAGGTTGTGCAGCCATCGGGGCGTCGTTCGGACGTATGCGACGTTCCACGTGGTTCCAGTTTTACCGGAATCCCAGCTGAAACAAGTGATCGGCATACGATGCTGTTCAGCGCGCCGTGTCGTGGGTGGCTACCGACCGAGAATGAACAAGACAAACCGTGATGTTCGTACTCATCGACATGTTTTTGGCACTTCATACAATCGTGAGGCTCGCATATTGCAACTCCCAATCTCAACCCACGGATATTTTAAGATTGTCATCGTCCAGAAGATTACCAATGTGAACGGAGGGCAACGCATTTAACCAGATGCTAGCCTCCGGTCGTGACTGGGCAAGTAGCCGGGCTTTACTGACTTCGTCGTC